CTGTAGGCACTAAAAACAGGAAAAGTTTTTCCTCAAGATTATCAGACTAGGATGCCTTTGCTAGGAAAATAGACCGGAAGGGCTCCATATTCTCTTCTCGCCACTAGGCATATTCGTACAATATATTCGCAAAAAGAAGATCATATTCGTACTCGCCACGCTCTGGCGAATCGGAATATGTATAATTTATCGAAAAATAAATTTTGTGGCATTTTTGAATTAGCTGCACCTTACATGAATTCGATGAACATGTAACACAAATACACACTAAAAAATAATGTGTCGCATGTGTCGCAAATTGCGACATAATGTGCGAGATTAATAGCGTAGTCAAGGCCTCGGATTAGTTGGTTTTCGTCAAAGAAAACATGTTTAACACAGAAAAAAGGTTAAAAAGACTTAGACAGGGATCTTTAGCCACGAATAACATCAATGCAAAATTGAAAGAACTTAAAGAGCCCGCAAACTTTCTTATCTTTTTTGTATTAGCGCCACCTATAGCTCAGCAAAATTGAAGAGAAGCCGAGAAAAATCCTAATAACGACTATTGAAAATAGTAAAACATAAAATTCAGCCAGTTTTTTTAACAGAGTAGATCCTCAAATGGCCTCAAGAACTGTGTCTAAAAGCTCTTAGTAACGGCGACACATTCTTTTGCGACACAATTTTCTCACAGGAGCTGCGACATATTTTACTGCAACACAAAATGCGACACAATATTTTCTACTGTGTAGAAGAGGAATTGACTGTAATTGTTTCTCGGGATGATGATGAGCTATCTAAGTTTTAAATAAATTTTATATGTGAAATAATGCAGATTGTATGATAAAGTGCATCTAATGGTGGAAAGGTTTAGAAAAACTAAGTGTTTGTCTCCTATGTCTGACCGGTGGAGATAATCGTTTTCCTTACGACACCTTTTCTAAATTTAAATTCACACTCCCCTTTCTTTCCAAATCTTTACAGGAGTCGCATAAAAAAGAGAGTCAGCTGTCATAATCGGAAATGATGGCATGAAATACTACTTTATAAATGACCGTAATAGTTTTATAGCTTGCTGAAATTCTTGTGTATATGTTTGTGATGGTAAAACAAAAATAAAAAATGTTATCGTTGATGGTAAAAATGATATGAAATAACCGACGACTAACAAGTATGGATTACGTGTTGGTTTCATACATGTTGATAGAAATGAGATGATCAGGCGAGGCATATCTAATAAAACTAGAAATATTGCACTTATCATTAAATGTTTATGAATATAAAACTGCTGTCGATAATTTATTGTGCATGAAGTTACGACCTTTGACTTTGTACGAGCCGTTTAAATAATAATAGTAACAGCTGAAATAATGTTTATTGTGAATGGAACAAGGAAATGAACCATTGTCAGAGTGGTACTGTATAGTTGTAAGAATAGGGATGGAAAACTAATAACACACCACATACGTTGTTCTATGGGATCATTAATAAGACGACGATAAAGAGTATCATGTATAGCACTTAGAATACTCAGTACAATTACAATAAACGTAACAAATTTAGCTATTCGTTTACTGAATTTCTTTCGAAACTTTAATCCGAGTATGACACTTGTAGCACGCTCGATTGCAACACTAGCATTCAACCATGCACATGTTGTTGGAAGAAATTTTAGAAGAAATTCAATCAAAATACAGCTAATGCTTAATACTCGACGATTTGATGGGATCATCATCATTTGTGTCATTAATAAATAAATAAAGTTTATTAGGAAAACACAAATTGTAAGTAAGGAAGTAATCGATGACCATAGCAAATACACGCCACAAGAGACCATTCACGTATTACATAAATCACTTTTTTCATGTTTTTCGACTTTCAATCTTCTCTCCTCACGTAATAATTCGTAGTCTACTGAGAATGTTGCACTCCTTTTCATTAGGTAGTCTTACGACATACCCTCTCCCGTTTCCTTTTTTTGAGCTGATAAGTCTAAGTTTTAGAAAAACAGAGAATTTCACACATGTCGCTTGCAGAAAATGGATTTTTAACTAGATGCCGCTTCTAATGGAGGCAGAATCAGTTATTTTCATTTCGTTCAACACCAATACCAGTTAACGGTGATGTGTTTTCCTCGAAAGATCATCGATGCTCTCTGTTGTACTTCCATGAACAAAAGTCATAGCTCACTTGAACATATCTCACTAATCGTAAGAAATTAGTTAGTTCTTTATTAGCAAGTTTAGTTGAAATCATTGCCTAAAACCAAGAATTTTTATGATTAGTGAAACCTTGTCGGAGCAGCCTAGTTCGGGGCTACAATGTGCACCTCCCCACTAGAAAAAAAGCATCTGATTAAAACGCATATTTTTAAAGATGAAAGCGTTAAGTTCGATCCAAGTTTCAGGTGAAACATTTTTTCTCCCTAAATTTTGAAAATTTCAATGTAAAGTTTCGAAAAGGTCGGTGTTCAAACGGATCTTTTTTGAACAGGCATCTGAAGACTTCCGCTTTTCTATGTCTCAAAAGTAAAATTTTTATATATTTAGCGAGTTGATATTAAAATGAAAGTGCAAGTGTAAGGCCAGTGTCTTGGTTTAGAAAAAGTTATTTTGGAAATATGAAGGTCCACTAAAAACCTTAAGACATCTTGCGAGAAAAAAAACAATCTTACTACTTTTTTAAAACACCTGTGAAATTTTCTCTTCTTGTTCTAGCGTAAAAAATGTAAAAATACGCGTTTTTATCAGACGAAACACAGGCTTTTTGAAATGTTTTCTAGTGAGTGTTTTCTGGCATTCCCCGCTTCATTTTACGTGTACAAGCTCATTACAGCCTCTAACGATATTCTTAGACAGTGGCAACAGTAAAAATCTTTTGTAAAGCCACTGTGCCCCAAACAGATTGTATCATATCTGAATTTCTTCCAACCAAAACCTCTTGTTTTCGGCCGCGAATGTTGTAACTGAAAGCCAACTATCAGTTAAACCAAATGTAAACATTAAACCAACTATAATTAAACTAATTTTGATGACTAATGGTTGTTTTTTTAGAGAAACACTGGATAGAATGTGTGAACCAATGATAGCATCTAATGATAGAGCATAGCCCGATATTGTAAATTGACATAATGTACCATAATAACATTCGGAACATATGCACATTGAACTTTTCGAACAACGTCATTGACCATCTTGTAGACATTTTCCATTATTTTCACAATAATTAATACCTAAACGACATTCGGTTCGATTATGTTTAAAATAAAAACAATCAAGCTGTTGATATTGATTACAAAAACACATCTGATCATCATCATCATAAAAACATGCAAAAGTTGGCAGTGTTGCGTTGGAACAGAGTTGATAATAATATTTTGTTCGTTTTAATTTATGATATGAAATAATTGTATGATTAAATAATTCCCGAATATGATGACATCGTTCAGTTGGTTGAACATATACTAACTTTTCATTTACAGGCTGCTGAAGAAGCAACATAGACAAATAATATTTTGTACTCGTGCCATCAGTATCGCTAAACGTTTGAATGAAACCCATTTGTGGTAGAAATTGAGCCGGATGATAAACTGTCAAATTGTATTGATATAATGAAATATGTTTAAAATATAATGTGTGCAAATGTTCCCTGTTATCATGTAATGTAATTAAATGAATGAGAATAGATGGTGATCGTTGAAGAATGTCGCTGTCGTCATCAATTGCAATATGAATTTGAGATGAATAATATTCACAACTGTCACCTAAGAATTCTTTAGGACAAATACATCGTCATTGACGAATTTTTTCATGTAGAGGAATACATGTCGCACCATTTTGACACGGGTACTCATCACATATCTGAAATGGTACATAACATTGAGTTTCTATCCGTCCTAATTGACATAAACATATTGGTTTAATATCGGTATTTAGACTGCGGCCAATACATGGAGAACCACTGGATCAATAATTACAGTTATCTATGATTGAACACCATTTTCCTGACCACCCTTGATGACAGTAACAAAAATAACCATTTGAATTTATATATTGAATACATTAGTCATGTTGGCCACAATCATATATTGGCTTATGTTCCTTATTTCGTTTTGTTTCGGATAATGTTAAAATTGCAGTCAAACGATTGACTGGTAGAAACGAGAATTTCACGTCAAAATACCATGTTCCATGATACTGGATACTTCCTTGCATAGTTAATCGATAAGCATCGGCACGAAATATTCCGCTTGTTCCTCTTCCGATAGGACTTGTGAGTAGAGTAGATTAAAATAATATTTGGGTAGACATTGATGATATGGCATATACATTACATCTTCAAATACAACTGTCTCATTTTGTAGATCAACGAGTGAAATCAAAAGACGATAGATCAAATTACTTCTCTCTTCTGGTCCACCTCAAAAAGCCTCACTGGTAGTTCGAGTGTGGTTTCCATATGCTGTAGTTTCTTGCAGCCAATTTGAAGAGAGATTAGGAAACTTTTTTGAGTTAGTCGTTGTCTTTACGACTCTTATGGCTATTCTCTCTGGTTTACTCCAACGGTACCAGAGCAGATGATCAAGGTATCGAAACAATGGCAATCATCTTTTCATTTCCAGGAAAAATCGATTGTTTTAATGGCGATGATGAACAAAACTGTTTTCAAATGGAAATCAATGAATGTGATCCAAAAACTGAATATCGTTGTTCCAATGGTCAATGTATACCTGAAAGATTTTTCTTTGACTTATCAGTGGATTGTTTAGATGGTTCAGATGAATATCCATCGTATGATCGGGCTTGTCCAAGAGATCCATCGTACTTTTGTGAAGATCACATGAGCTCACTGGGCAAATTTTCATGTGGTGGTGGATACTTTAAACTGTTAAGGAATCATACGGTAAGGTTACCACTAAAGAGAAAGGAAATGAGAATCACTGAGAAGAGAGGACAAAAGATCGAATCAAAGAACATCCTTAATAGAAGTCGTCTAAGTGAACCGCTAACATCTAATACAGTGTTTGATTCATGTATGAATGGACGTGATAGATTATATTCATTGAATCTTTATTCATATTCTTCAAATATGTCTCAATGTTATAAATACGTTGAATGTGCATTAAAATCAATGTTATTTAATTCGATTATTGACTGTTCTACAATTTGTCGAAATTGGAAATCTCATTATGGGCCAACTATAAAACAATTTTGTCCATCATTATTCATTTATTTCATTTAAATATAAGTAATGTTATGGATGAAAATTATTTAACATGTTATATTTGTTATAACTATTCATGGTGTCCAACATTTGTACCAACTGTAAATATAAGTAATAGACTTACATGCCGATATTCTACTGAATTTAATTTTTCAAATAAAATCTATCGAAACTGGCCTAGTCTATTAACTGGATTAAAACAAATATTTAAAGCTTGTTCGTATCATAACGAGATAAATTCGAGTAAATTACTATTATTTGATTGTTCAAATTCATCAAAATTTATTTCAAAACATCGTTTATTTGATTCTTCAATTGATTGTCCAAATGGTGAAGATGAATAAGAGGTCTCTATAAACACTTGCTTATTATCTCATCGATTTAAATGTAGATCAGAGAATAACAAATGTATACCAAGACGATTTTTAATGCATGAATTTAAACAGTGTACAGATGGTTCAGATGAATCATTTGGTGAACGATGTAGAATATCAGGATCATATAACTGTGAATATATTCGAGGAGGAGAAAAAATAAATCAAATATCATTTCCAAAAATCTGTAATGGCCTGTTAGATATGTTAACCCTTGAAGAATATAATGAAACAGATGAAACAAATTGCGACGATTTAATATTATGTATAAAGCGATATACTCTTTGTGATAGTGTATGGAACTGTCCAAAAGCTGTTGATGAATTAAACTGTCCTGGTTCAATGTCACACTATTATTGTTCGGATGATCAAGAACATGTTTGTTTTCATCCGGAAGATGCTACTTTAGGTTGTTGACAAGGTGGTTTGCAAGCTTCAACAGAAATATTTATTCGAATTGGTGTAAAAATATTATCGACAACTAAATTTGATATGTCAACGAAAAAAGTAGATGGTAATTTAAAAGACATATTGCACATTTGTATTTATCATTTTATTGTAGTCAAGTTGAAAGAACGCATTAAAAATAGAACGCAGAGGAGTCCTAGGGCTTCGTGGAAAATGTCAGTAGCGCCTGAACCCCAAGCAAAATCAAACTTTTGCTTAAATCTAATTTCGTAGAGGACAATTTGGAGTATCTATCTATGAAAAACATCAAGAGATTCTTATGTCAGTTTCTAGAGATCCGAGATGGTTTTTCAGAGATCTTTTAGAAAATCGATCTTTCAAATCTTTTCGGATAGCAATTATACTTGAGAAAATGTAGCTTAAACCGTTCTCTTTCGATTGCTGAAAGTCGCAAGACTCTATCTTTTTGCGTTTTTGAGTTATACAAAAAATGGCAACCTGTCTTATATT